TAATAGTATTAATTACTTTCAAAATATTAAATATTTTAAATTTTTTTTATGTATAACTAATGTTTTTATCAAGAACAAAAGGTTGCATAATTATACGATACAAGAATAAGTAATATGTAGTCATTTTGTGTTTTAAAATTAAAATGCAATCTTCCGAAATTCAAATTCAATATGTAATATAGTTATAGCAGTGTTTTGGAAGTACACAAACAAAACATTAGGGATCGTTGAAAAGGATAGAAGAGAAATAAAGGAAAATGGGAAAAAAGTTTAAAAGTACTTTAGTGTGAGAGAATAGTAATTATTGTGTATTATATAATTATACTTAATTACTAGTTTTAATTCTATAATTGACTTTCTATGTTTTTCTTTTTTTAATCTTGACAGTATTACTCCCATAAGAAAATTCATATAAACTTTTAGTCTTGATGTCATGAAGAAGAATTTGGGGTGGAAGCGTAGAGAGAGAGTTTTCAGAAAGAAGAGAGATATATGGATGAAGGTGTGTTTTATTTATGAGGAAAGCTCCTCTATTTATACACATAAATTACACCGTCATACTATTTACTTTACATAATTGGCCGACAAACTTTTTACATGATTGGCCGACAAACTATTTACTTTACGACTTTTGTACATTTGGCTTTTTTCAGCCGACGCAAGACGACAAAAATAAAAAGACCCTTACTTTATACATATGGCTGATATTCAGCCAACAATTTGATTTTTAAAGTGTTACATGCGTGGTGGAGTCTTTTTAATTATCATGTCCAGTTGTATTCTTATAAGCTCTTCTATCTATTTAGACTAGATCCTCGAGAGATCTTGTATTACTTTACAAGTTTTAACTAAAATTTTGTCTAAACATGTACTTTATGCAAGTCATATTTTTCTAGTTACCTTGGGTTTCATTAAAATTTTCCGCATGTTTAACTATTGGAATATGAGAATTCTTCAACTTGTGTGTTATAGTGGGATCTCACGGCCCGGTGGGTTGGGTTGGGTCGTGACAAAATTTGACCTAAGTTTATTTGATAATTTTATATAACATAGCACATTACAAAATATAATCTAATTTTTTTTTGACTAAGAAAATTGTTGAATTAAAAACCATAATCAATTCATGCATAAATACAATCCATATGCAATTATTTTATAATTATTATTTTTTTCATATAAAATATTATATGTTATAATGCATATAAAAATGGTAAAATTTATTAGCAACGGGCGTAAACCTACGGTCATCGTTAAGAAAATAACCAAAATTTTCATTTACGAAAGCTTAGCCATCATGAAAATTTCGATTTCACCACTAAATTTAAATGTTTTTAATTTTTCTCAAAAAAGTGACGTTACCTTTTAATATGAATCAATCTATATTTAAACTACTAGAGACACTTTAACCTGACTAATCTTTTACGATACTGAGAGAAAATGGACCTCACTATCCGCTCGAATTAAATTTCACCTTCTATCTCGATTAATTATTTATTTAAAGATATATTTATCCTAAAAAACAATTGTAGATTTATCTAAATAGCCCATACGTGTAAGAATAAATTTGAATTAATTTTGAACACACTATATGGGTGTGATTAGATTAAAACCCTAAAAACTTATTTGTAGTTCTTAGTCCAAAGCCAAGATCTAATGTCTTCACAATGATAGTATCATTATATATATCCAATTTCATAACATTTTATTTGATTCATTGACATATATGTTAAAAATTATAAGATGTACCACGAGATATATAAATATTGAACTCTTAATTAATACAAAAATTCTAGTCTTTAGGTTCACTAAATTTGAATCATAAATGCAAATCACTACTAAATAATTGAAATAACACCATCAACATTAAAATAAAATTCGAACTAAAACTTAAAACAAAAATATTTTTAAAAAACATAATTATTTCATTGCATGCGTGTTCAAATGTATTAGAAACCATTTTATGCTTAAATAGCATTTTCATGAGGATCTTGTGCAAAAGAAGCAACAACATCTTTTCAGCATCAAATCAATCTCATCCAATCGACTTTCAAATTTTTTCAATTCTTTTACATTGAATTCCTTTATTTGTTCCTGAATTTCTTATATGTGTTGTCATGACCAAACCATAGTGATTGACACACACACTACAAATCAGTGGGAGAACCACTACTAGCAACCAACCTAAGCAATGAACATAGATACTAAGACATTTAAGTTATGGAAATAAGTTAATAGGTAACAAGAAGGTTCCATTTTTCAATAAGGATCTAATAATTAAATAACAATGCAGAAGATAAACCTAGAATCTAAAAGTCAATGTACCAAAACTAGAAACGGGAACCAAATCTAACAAGAATTTATATTGAACTATCTAACGAACTAAAACAAGTTCTAGGTCCGAAAATGGTGGACATAGACTAAAGAGAATCCCTTGGCAGCCCAAATACTGTGGCTCACCCTTGAACTCGAAGTGATCACCAGTCTCTTAAGCATGGTCTTTAAGAAGTAGCGTGAAGACGCCCTGTACTCAAGAAAAAACTAAGAGAAAGTGTTGAAACAGTACAAAATCACTGAAAACTGGTAGTATCACGCGGCTATCCCACTAGTGAACATAAAAAAACAATTACAATATTATAGCACATGTGTAAATATAACTAAATTCAACATGTTCATAGAAATCAACATCACAATTCTCATGCTTGATTAAATGGTTGGTTCTCTCATGAAACCCAAAGTCAAACCGTTAGGATTCTGGAACGTGGCAATTGGATCCACTTATTTGTGCCGGAACATGGAAGCGTAACCCAATCACACATCACAATAAAACATTAATATCACACATTCAAGTCACGATTTTATGGTATCGATATTCATATATCTTATTTCAACATTTATGAAAAATATTGCAACATGTATATATATACAAGTATCACAAAGAAGAACATCAAGTGTATATCACACAATCATAGAATGACAACCATCACCTACCTAGAACAAGTTTGAAACCCTTGACAACTTGATCCTTCCCTTTCCAGATTCATTCATGTTGCTCTTGTCAACAAATAACAATTTATATACGAGAATCAATAAAGAAACAATAAATTCCCGAAATATTAACAAACTATGAATGCTAGTTCAATCCCATCACTCGGACTAGTCAATTTAGGGTTAATTCTGCTATTGGAATCCTTCCCCTATTGACCCATTCTAAAATGTTCTATGTATAGAAAAATGAATTTGGGGAGTGAAAAACATACATCTATCTTGAAGAACAATGGAAAACAAGTTGGAAAAACCCATGGATCGTCTCTTTACTTAAAAGTCAAAAAGTATAAAATAAGGTCATCTAAGTCTTTTATTTATCATTTAAAATCCAGTGATACCTTTTCAGCGGCGTTGTTGCATACGCACATAGTGAAGCAGAGAGCTCCGCCTAACAATATACCAAAATCCTTTAGTTACTCCTCTGCCTCGCCCGCTACATCGGCACTCATCCCGCTGTAGGGGCGTCGCTGCAGTAGCAACATTCCTGCTGCACCAAACGAAGTGAGGCGGTGAGCTCCTATGGACTTCCAATTTCCATCTTTTCACAACATACTCTTAGCCCACTAAACTGAGAAAGTTCCCTTCACACCAAAGTCAATTCCCGATGATCTACTTATCAAATTTTGATGTTGTTAAGTCGTAAGAATTCCTTAACAAGTTATCTATCCATTCATTTACTCAAATCCACATTTACTCCAACTGATTGCTTTCAGATCTCCCTACCCCTCGATTACTCCAAATCCCTTCAATCAGGACAAGGTTGAGAAAATCCTAGTACAACGAAAATGTTTTCCGACCCAAATTTTTCACCGTTTGCATTTCTATTACAATGAAACCTGATCGTTATAATAGATGCCAGTTTTCCCATAGCTCATCACCGAGTGATCAACTCACTAAAGGTAGGCTTGAAAAGGAACAAGTAGTACCTAGTTTGACGAATAATTGCGGGTACATGTCTTACATATACTTCTCAGTCTCCCAAGTAGTTTTCTATACTAGAAGGTGCTTCCAGTGAAATTTGACGGACCTAATCTCTTTGGTCCTCAACCCTTAAACACCTCATATTGGAAGTCCTTGTCTATCACTATTAAGTCCCACTTAATGATATAGTCACCATCACCGTGATATCTCTGTAACATAGACATAAAAAATACGGGTTGTGCACCGGACAATTTTGGACCTAGCACCAATCTATATGCCTTCGGCCTTACATATTTAAGAATCTCAAAGGGACCAATACACGAAGGAATCAACTTACACCTCTTACCAAATCTCATCAACCCCTTCATGTGTGATACCTTGAGAAAAACATTTTCGCCCATCTAGAATTTTGTATCTCTGACCTTTTGATACACGTACTTCTTCTGTCTACTTTGCCCGACTAAAAGTTTAGCTTGAATGGTCCTCACCTTATCTTGGGTTTCTTCACTAAAAAAACCCAAAGGTTTTACATATCTGTATTCAATCAAACTATGGGTGATCTACATCCTCTCCCATATAACTCCTCAAATGGTGCCATATCAATAATAAAATGATAACTATTATAATAGGATAATTCACATAGTGTAGGAACTTATCCCAATGCCCTCCAAAGTCAATTACACTAGCTCTTAACATGTCCTTTAACACTTGTATAGTCCTTTCTGATTTCCTATTCGTTTGGGATGAAAGGTTGTACTAAAAATGATTTGCATGCCCAATTGATCATGTAACATCCTCTAAAACTTTGAAGTGAAAAAGGTACAATGGTCTGAGATAATGGAAAGGGACACACAATGCAACCTCACTATCTCCGTTACATAAATCCTAGCCAAATGTTCAGCGTTGTAATCCACTCTCACCGAAATGAAATGAGGTGAATTGGTCAACCTATCAACTTCAGCACAAATAGAATCAAATTTCCCCAAAGTCTTGGGATGTCCAACCACAAAATCCATGGCTATCGTTTCCCATATCTATTGTGGAATTGACATATTTTGAAGTAGAACCACAGGCCTTTGATGTTCATACTTCAGTTGTTGACAATGCTCACACATTGCCACAAACTTCACAATGTCTTGTCTCTCATATGACCACCAATAAAACTGTTTCAAATCTCTATACATCTTGGTCACACCCATATGAATAGAATAGCGCGAGCCATGATCTTTCATTGGCAACCTTAGGATCAAATCATCAACTCTTGGAGCACAAATTCTACCCTTATAGTTGAGCACACCATCCATATCTAGATTGGTTACTTGAGACTTATCTATTGCAATCTCTTTTCTAAGATCATCTAAATCATTATCTTTGAATTGCTTGACCTTGGTTTCCTCTATAAGCATGGACTTAGCTTCAATGCTAGTTAACAACCCATCTCTTTGAGAAATGCCCAACTGCACAAACATAGACACTAAGTTCTGAATTTCCTTGGTCAAGAGTTATTTGGTTCCACTCAAGTGAGATAAACTTCCCGTACATATCATTTTTCGACTCAAAGCGTCTGCCACAACATTTTCCTTAATCAGATGGTTTTTAAATAGTCACATCATAATCCTTGAGTAATTCAATCAATCTTTGCTATCTCAAATTCAAAACCTTTTGGGTAAATACATGTTTGCAAACTATGAAGATCAGTAAATACCTTACACATAAAAATATACAAATATTGTCGCCCGATCTTAAGAACAAATACCATGACTGACAACTTGAAATCATGAGTTGGTTAATTTTTGTGTTGCACATTCAATTGACGCGACGCATAAGCTATGACATTCTTATCCTGCATCAAGACAACATCCAATCTAGAATGTGAAGCATCACAACAGACAATGAAGTGCTTACCCTCAATCGGTAATGCTAGAAGGGGCGCGGTGGTAAAAAGAGTCTTAAGATTTTGGAAGATCTCCTAACATTTTTCATTCAATTCAACGGTACCTCTTTTTTTGTAAGATTGGTCAAATGAGTAGTAATTGAAGTAAAATTCATGATAAAACGACGATAGTAACCAGCAAGTCCCACAAAACGCCTAACCTCCAACACGAAGCTAGCTTGTACCCTATTTTGAACTACTTCAATCTTTTAGGATCCACTCTTACCACTTCTTTTGACACCAGATGCCCGAAATATGCAACCGACTTCAACCAAAACTCACACATGATATTTTTTGCATATAACTTTTGCTTTCTAAGGATAACCCATACTGTACGAAAATGGTTAGCATTCTCTTCTTCACTCTTTGAATACACAAAAATGTCATTGATACAAACATTCATATAAGATTCAAGAAAGGGATTGAATACTCCATTCATCAACCTCATAAATGTTTCAGGTGCATTAGTAAACCCAAACGCATAACCAAAAACTCATAGTGCCCATAACGAGTCCTAAGCACCATCCTAGGTATATCTTTAGGCATAATGTTCAATTGATGATAACCAAATCTTAAATCAATCTTGGAGAAAACTGTTGCATCTTGTAATTGGTCAAAAAGATCATTCATTTTAGGCAAGGGTTACTTATTTCAAAAAGTGACCTTATTCAACTGCCGTTAATCTATGAAAATCCTCATGCTACCATCCTTCTTCTTAACAAATAAAACTTGAGCACCCATAGGGAAGCACTAGGAAGAATAAAACTCTTATCAAGAATCTCTTGGATTTGAGCCTTAACCTCACTCAACTCCTCCGGAGCGATGCGATATGGAGGGATATAAATTATGGGGCGCGTACCAAGATCTAAGTCAATATAAATCTATGTCTTTATATGGAGGCTTGCTAGAAAAATTATTTGGAAAAACTTCACTAAATGTGGACATCGTCGAAATAGACCGAATGAATGGAGCTTCAATTTAAACATGCCTAACATGAGAAAAATAACCTAAACAACCTTACTCTAATTATTTACTAGCCCAGATGAAGGATATAATCTTAACTTGCTTAGGCTTATACACCCCTTCCCACTATATTTTTTTAATCCCAGAATATATAGAGTCACTGACTTCGCATTACAATTAAGAACAACATAATGGGTAGACTACCAAGTCATGCCTAAGATTATGTCAAAGTATTCCATATCTAAAATCACCAAATGAGTCCTAGTATGAAATCCCATACACAAAATAGATCAAGCACAATAAACATGGGTGACTATGATTGACTCACCAATTGGGGTAGAAACACGTATAGGATAATCAAGAATATCAAATCACATCTCAAAATAAAAGGCAAATCTCACAACCACATACGAATATGTGGAACACAAATTAAATAATATATTGGTTGTTTGATCACAGCCAAGAATAGTACCTTTGATTACTCCATCATACTTCTCTGCCCCATTCTTGCCCGAAAATACATAACATTGAACTCTATTATTGAAACAAGATACCTTCGTGCCTAGTTGCAAAGTACCTCTACCATTCTTACCATTCCCACTACCTCCACGGCCTCTCTTATTTCCTCCGCGTCCTACTTGTGGACTTCCCCTATCATTATTACCATTTCCCGTGTGTATAATTTCTTGAGAAGGTTTCTTTCAAGACTCAAGTGAACGGGGTTGTGGGCAATTCCTCATCATGTATCTAAGTTCCCCACAACTAAAACAAGTGTGGCCTCCAGATGGTTTGTTGCTCGCAATATGCTCAACACTGTGATACACTGAAAATTATTAGAAGGAGTCCCCGAATAGTCACTAGAATTGGAGGACATGGCATACTAAATTGGCTTGGCCGCGAGGGTAGCTCACTGGATCCATTAGTATAGGATCCCTAAAAATTTCCAGGGCCCTCATAGACAACGCTCTAGCTTGACCGTCTTGCTTCTCCCCCTCGACATTTTTGACAGAATCAATCACCTCACTGAAGCTCCTTCCTGCAGAAGTCATATGAACAGGAAACACTTGTATATAAGAATTCAAAGCTCTAACAACTACCGGATCCTCTATTCTTTAGTGGTTACTAATTGGGTAGCTTATCTAGATAAAACATGGGACTTAGCTTCATATGCAATTATAAACATACTAACCTGTTCTAATCCAATAAATGCATCCTTCTTGTTATCTTTCAAACTCCTAGGCATATACTTCTCTAAGAAAAAGGCATGAAATTGAGTCCAAGAAAGTTGAGGTAATGTAGAGGCTCTGCATTTCATATAAGCTTTTCACAATTGCTTGGATGCACCTTGAAGTTGAAAAGAAATAAACTCAACTCCATGGTTGTGAACGATACCGAACTTATGCAACCTCTCATAACAATGCAAAATGAACTCATAAGAATCCTTTATCTCCAAACAAAGAAATACCAGAGACTTGAGCTTCAAAAACATGGTCAACATACCAAGATTATTACTGGTCATCACAAATTCCAACAAAGGATGGAAGAAATCAACATTGCCTACCTCTCCAACCGGCTTGGGTACAGTGTTAACAAGGGGAGAATTCGCGAGGACTTGACTAGGTTGAATCATCCTCGGACTATCCAACCCTTTCAAATATGACATGATCTATTGTGCTAACACCGAATCAAGGTGAGGGATTCCTGTAGCTTCAACCTACACCCCTTACTCATTTTCAACCTCATCTACATTCTCAAACTCAACATCCTATTCTACGTCTTTGTTATGCACCGTAGGATTCTCGTTTCCCAAGCATAGTCATTTGACACCTCATTCACATCAGACTCCACACTTTCACGAGCTCTACCCCTTGATCTTTCTGTACATCTGCCTCAACCATGACTCTAGTTGCGGGTTCTTCATCTGGAGCATTAGTAGGAGCTACATGCCCAACACGATTAAACCTAGTATTTACCATCTACAATAGAATATTTAGAGAAGTTAGATATCAATATAAAACGCCAGACACCAGTTGGAATCAAGTCATAGCGTGAAGGAGACAAGGGAAAATGGGGATTTCCTTATGTCCTAGAGTCTCTCAAAAAAAAGATTAAGTGTCCCCGTACCGTTCCTACGACTCATTTTTGTGCATTGAGATCAACAAACCTAGGATCTGATACAAACTTTTTCACGATCTAGACCGTCGTGATTGACACACACACTACAAATCGGTTGGGAAACCACTACTAGAAACCAATCAAAGCAATGAACCTTAAAACTAAGGCATTTAATTTGTGGAAACAAGTTAATAACTAAAGACAAGGATCCACTAGTAAATAAAGAACTAATCACTAACAAACAATGTGAATGATAAACCTATTAATGAGAACCAAATTTAACAATAATTTCTAATGAACTATCTAACTAACTAAAACAGGGTCTATGTCCAAAAATGATGGACATCAACTTAGGAGGATAATTCCATGGAAGCCTAAATGATATGGCTTACCCATGAAATCAAAGCATCACCAATCTCGTAAGCGAGATTTGACAACAGTTGTGTGAGGATGCCCTGTACTTAAAAAAATAGCAAGTGTAGAATTAGTACTGAACCACCATGTACTAGTGCGATCACTCGATTATCCCACTTGTGTAACAAGAACAAGTAATTAAAACATCATAACACATGCATAACTATCATCATATTAAATTTTTTCATAAGAATAAACATGCCAATTCACATGCTTCATCAGATAATTGGTTCTCTCACAAAACCCAAAGTCAAACCATCAGCATGCAAGAAAGTGTCAATATTATCCAACATTAGGTGCCGGAACATGGCAGCTGATCCACATAAGAAATCACAATGACACATCAAGATCACACATTCAAGTAATGATTTCAAGGTATCAATATTCATATATCTTATTTCAACATTTATGACAAATATTTCAACATGCTTGCATATACAACTATCACAACGAAACAAAGCAAGTGTATATCACATAATAACAGAAAGACACCCATTAACTATCTCCAAATAAGCTTGAAACCCTAGAGAACTTGATCCTTCCTTTTTTGGATTCGTTTCGCTTGTTCGTGGTCTACAAGCTACTATTTTATTTATAGGAGTCAATAAAGACACTAAATTCATGAAATACTTATAAACTATGAACCCTAGTTAAAATCTATTACCCTAACTAGTAAATTTAAGGTTAATTCAACCATAGGATTCTTCAAGAAATCCTTCCTCTATCTTTAAGAATCATGGAAAAATAGTTGGAATATCCCAAGGGTCGGCTCTGAACTCAAAATGTTTAAAAGTACAAAATACGGTCGTCTAAGAGTTGTATATACGATTAAAAAGCACATCATACCGCCATAACGACACCCATCCTACTGTAGTGGTGTTGCTGCAACTGCACTAATCCCGATACAGCGGCACAAAAGTTAAATAGTGAGCTCTGCCTCAAAAAGTCCCAAATCCTTTAATTCCATCTATGCATCGCCCTTTACAAGGTTGAGAGGTCATTTGAGGTACAAATAGAAGAGTGTCTGCGTGTAGAAGCACTAGCTGCAGTGATCATTAATTTTCTTAGTGATTGCATTGAAGAGTACGAGTAATTGGTCGCAGAAATTGTTCGAGGTGATGTTCGGTTTAAACCAAAGAAGTTGGATTTAGATATGAAGCATCGCGAGTCTCCAATTGTGAAACTATCTATTGAGGAGGCTCCAAAAGTAGAACATAAGTCTCTACCACCGCATCCGAGGAATGTATTCTTGGAAAAAGGTGACACATTGCCGTTAATTATTGCATCAAGTTCAGACTTTGGTGGAAATGTTAAAAAGGATCAAAAGAGATGTTGGGTGGACTATTGCGGATATTATTGGGATCCCTCCTAGGATTTGTTCATATAAAATCCAACTCATGCCCGATCATAAGCCAAGTATTGAGCACCAGAGACGTTTAAATACACCTATGACAGAGGTGGTGAAGAATGAAATTATTAAGTGGTTGGATGCTGGAGTGATATATCTAATCGTTGATAGTAGTTGGGTATGCCCTGTTTAATGTGTACCTAAGAAAGGAGAATAATTGTGGTCCCCAATGAGAAAAATGAGCTTGTCTTGACAAGACCGGTGACTGGATGGGGGTTGATATATCATGGTTTCACGGTATTATTAATACTTTTTCCTTAAGTTTAGTGTGTCCAAAAGACTTTTTGTGCTAATTTTTATATAAGTTTCTTTTTTATTTAGTAGAAAATCTGTCCAAAGCTGAATGCGGAGATTTTGAGCGAAAAAATGCAAAAGAGACCACCTACGGAGCTTATGACGGTCCGTCGTGCTTGTGACGGTCCGTAGGTGGCAGCGTAGTGCAGCTGCTGAAGGAAGATAGGGAAGTCTGACCAAGTGTGAGGTTACGAAGCTTGTGACGGTTAGTTGTGTCTATGACGTCCCGTCCTGCAGGTTCGTCATAAAGTTCAAAGAAGTGATCCCAGTACCCATATTTCAAGAGTTGAAGTGTTTTGAAACGAAGGCCCTCGACGGATCGTTGTACCTATGACAGTCCCTCATACTTTCCGTCGAGGGTAATGAAGAAGAGCAGCTGAAGAAATTGCATAACTATGGGACGAAGGAGTCCATGAAGGTCCGTCGTGACCATGATGATCCGTTGCGAGGTCCGTCGATCCAGCCGCGTTTTGGCAGATTTCCAGCAAATAGAGTCCTTGTTTAATTAGGTTTCTATTTTTTATAAATGGTTGAAAAACCTTGTTTTTGAGGTTAGACTCTGGATTGTTAGACATTATACTATTAGACTTTGTGTATTAGTTTGAGATACTTGATAATTTTATACTTTTGATTATCATTGATTGTTGGTGATTCGTGGTGATTAATCAAGCAAACTTTAGGATTTTACTCTTTCTCGTTGAAGTAAGTACATGAATTATTATTTAATATATGTGACTATTGTGATTATGACTATGGGTAACTAACCTCCATAACTAGGGTGGTGGGAACCATAGGCAAATAATGAGATAAAACATAACTAAAATAACCATTCTAGAATAGTGTGTTGCATGTATTAATAATTCTTTCGCTTACAAGACTTTTTAACGGATGGCCAACGTTAGAAATCGTCTTAATGCTACTTGTCGGACCAAGGAGGTACATAATAGGAAAAGAATTATTAACATAGATTTAGTGTATACTATCTAATAGGCTAGTATTGATTGGTATGAGGTAATAACTTAGTCAAATATCAAATACGATGCTTAATATGAGGTAGAGATAAGGGTTAGGAAAGAAACACACGTAGCCGGACCAAGGTGCGGAGTGAAATTTTCTAGATGTCAAACCAAGGATTTAGAAATACATAACTTATCACTTTGCATGTAAGATACTAGGAAAGAATTGTTGTAGTTAGAATTATAAAGTTATGAACCTGTGGGGAACACGTAAACCCTAGTTACTTTGATTAATTTATTAAAATCCAACATTCAAAGCTGTTAAGTGTCACTTTCAATTGTGTTAGTTATTTTCTTTCATTTAGAATTAGAAACCCCCATTTTATTGTTTTTTACTTTCAAAGGAGGTCATTGACCAAACAATAGTAATAACAGGTTAAAGTTATGTCTAGACTATTTTCCTCATGGGAACGATCCCAACCTCACTAGTTGGGTTATTTACTTGACACGACCACTTTACTTCTTATTTGAGAAGTAAGTTTGAGCGTATCAAATTTTTGCGCCGCTGCCGGGGATTATAGCTTTTAGAATAACTTGAATTTATTACTATAGTTTATTTGATATTTTCTTGATTTTACTTTGTTTTATTGTTTTTAATTTTTTGTTAAAACTATCCTCCTTGTATGTCAAATACATGGAGAGGAAGAGAACCCTTGTTTCCCTACGATCACGAGTTAGAGCGTACACTTTGCAATATGAATCGAAACTTTCGAATAAATGATGATGATCGAACCAGAACATCCAAGATCCAGTTGATGTTCATGGTCAGATGATACCCGATGCTCCGGGTGAACAGCAACAGAGGGGACAAAATACCGTACCACGTCCCCAAGCATACTACAGAGGCTATGATAACATAGAAGACTCCGATGGGCCACTGCTTTTGCCTCCTCTACCCACGGGCCACACTTTTGTGGTAACTAGTAGCCTGATGCAAATGCTCACTGCCAGAGGTTTGTTTTCAGGGCTACCTTCTGAGGATCCACATGCCCATATATCTAAGGTAAGGGCAGTGTGTAAAAGTTGTGTAGGGAGGCCTGATATGGATTAAGATGTAATAGGTCTCAGAGTGTTTCCTCTGTCACTGATGGGAGAGGCTGCTATGTGGTTCATTGAGCTCCCATACAACTCAATCTTCACAAGGAACAAACTAAGCGATGTCTTCTTAGCACGCTACTATCTGGTCTTCAAGAAACTAAACCACAAAGACAGAGTGAATAACTTTTTGGCACTACCAGGAGAGCCAGTTAGTAGTTCTTGGGATAGATTGTCCTCATTCTTGAGAAGTGTTCCAAATCACCGTATAGATGATGAGTCACTGAAGGAATACTTCTATCGGGGACAGGATGATAACAATAAAGCGGTGTTGGACACTATTGCAGGTGGATCTTATGGGAGTTTCCTTATACTAAGATA